GTGACAACATTTTGGTGGTTTGCATGTTGTCTTGGTTTCCTTTCCCATTTCTTGTGTCTTACTCTTCACTTGTTTTGTGCCTAATTCCTGCACAATAACACACAAATCAAAGGTACCAAGAGGTTTTTTCATAATGTTGCAAACCAACCAAAACAAGAGTGATTTTCAACACTTAATTGACGAAAATGAGTGAAAGATGCCAACATTTGATAGATTAAATAAGTGAAATTTGGCGTCTAACAACTCGCCCCAACTAGCTTTTTGCTTGTCCTCAAGCAAAGTATGCCTCTCATTTCACAATAAGAGGATTTGCTCAAGACTAAGATTCCCCAAGAATGGATAAAATTGGCTCAACACAAATGATGCAACAAGTAATGGTTTCAAATGTTTAGAATCAAACAACACACAAGAACTAACTTCTTAAAGCAAATATAAAGTCATGCATCAATCAACAACTATGTTTTTCATGAATGAATCACTCTATCTCTCCTCTTCAAATAAGGTTTGAAGAAATTACGCGTTTGCAACCGCGGGGACAATTTCACTCCACTAACAAACAATGCCAATATCAATTCAATTCATACAAAATCTAACAAACAAAAGCGAAAATATGGAAGCAAGAAGATCACTAAGGTCTTTAAGGTTGTAGCTTGGTCGGTTTTACAAACAAGGGACATTTCTAAGGCCATTGAAACAAAATTGTCGATGCAAAAGAGACATTCACCGAACACGTTATTTACACACCTCAACTTCATTCCATTTGTTTTTCGATTGCAAATCTTCCCAACTCTTATTTCACAACTTATTCTTTCACTATTTTTTTTTCCTAAGCAAGCATTCTTTTTCTTTTCTCTTTTTCTTTTCTTTTCTTTTTTCATATTCACACAATTTTTTTGGTGCTTGCTTGAATTTTTCAAAAGTTGTAGCAACCTACTATCTTCCTTTTTCATTCGCCCCAGCTTAACTTTTACTCAACCCTCAAGTGAATGCTCTTAGCTTTTTATGGCAAAGAAGACAATTAAAACAAACTCAAGGGTTCAAGAAAAATTTTAGAATCTCTCAAAATTAAGAATGAGATTCACATTGTTTAGGCTCAAAGGGGTTAACGAATTCTCTCTACTCACGGGTAAGTTGCATTTGGACATGGTTGTGCTCAATACAAACAAGTGCCTTGATCATTTCTAATGCTTCCACAAATTCACAATGATAACAAGATAAAGCATGAATCATACGAATCAACAAAGTTTATCAGAAATCCAGCATTTAGTAAACAATGGAAGCTTTCTCACAAATTGTGGTTTTTGGTCCTAAGTGAAACAATCATTCAAACAAGTTGCCAAAAGAACAAATTTCATTTGCACAAAGACTTAAGTTCTTAAGCATTCTAAAATTCTAAATAAAGGAAAACATGTACCTTGACAACATTCACTTGTTTCATACTATCATCGCCATCCAAACTCGGTCGAAACTTCATTGAATGCTTTTATACCGATAGCAACCACTCTAGAAGGAGTTTCCGTCATTCCTGAACACACTAGAAAAAACATAAAAAGAAACAAATATATACAAAATATACAAAGCTTAAAAACATAGAACCGTTGCAATGCACTTTAAAATCTCAACACCAATCCCCGGCAACGGCACCATTTTGTTGATGCGGTAAAGCAGCAAGCAAAAAATATTAAGTACCCAGTTTTGTCGTTTCCATAGGGATTAGTGCGATATGAACGCCGTTCAACGACCTCTATGTTTCTAAGCTTGATTTTCAAAAGGTTTGGTTTAAAGAGTTCAAAGAACCATAGATAAAAACATAAAATATAAAATAAAGACTGAAATATAAACGGAGCCTTGTTGGGATTGGATTTCATCAATTGATAACATATGCATTCTTCTGATCAAATTAAACACAGCGCAATCATTCGTCTAATGTCATCACGTATCACTCACGACAAAGCTTATCTCTAATGCGGCGTCGAGAGAACAACCGTGTTGTCTCATTGGCGATCTCTCACCCAACAAAAACATAACACAGAGCATTAAGATCTGATACTCACGCAAATGCTAAGCCTAAATCTATCTCTAGAATTTAGGACCTAACAAGCAATCATCCTAGATCCATATCTGAAAAGTATATCTCTATCGCGATTCAAATCAAAGATAAACAAGAAAGCAAAGATAACACCCATATCAGATAAACAATTGTTTTGCATAAAATACAATTATTAGAATACGTACACACGCTTAACCCTTTTTACATGTATTCATCTAATCCGCCAAATGTCGGTGAACATCGTTCTTCATCACTATTATCACATACCCACATAATATCATGTTGATCCTACCCATGCTACTTAATCAACACAACACCATAGAGGATAAAATGAATATCACATACTTTAGAATCCTCTTTACTTAGTGAATGTGACTAATTTTGTAGTAGTGTTGGAAAATACATACAATAAAGATAAAATACCAACATAACACTACATAAAAAATATGAAATGGATATAAAGCTAATTAAAATGCATGTGTATCGAGTCAGAAATGTGATACGTTATCAACCACCACACAAATATATAATATATAGAAATGAGAGAAAAATATCTTAATTGCAATTTGCTTATAGTACCAATTTATAACGATATTATCTAAATGTTTATTCTTGTACTTATTAATAACAACCAGTTTCATTGAGTAAGAATTAAGCTCATATTAGTTCATTAATTACTTTATTTGTGTCAACAGACAAAAAATAAAGTATATAGAAATTCAGTTGATTTCCATTGACAACAACAAATAGAGTACATAGAAGCTCAATTAGTCTCACCTGACAAAGTTAGAGCACTTTAGAGAATATGAGACATTACACACAAACCATTTTTAGAAAATATTATTAAATTATCATTGTATTTATCAATTTTATTACATATCTATTTTTATTAAGATCATTATGTTGTTTTAATGATTTAAGATTTTAAAAAATTCATTTTATAAAATAAAAATTGTATGATTAATTTATGTTAAATAATGTAATTTTATAGCATTATTATTTTTTAATGTTATAAAAAAATAAAATACAAAAAATCGAAAGTACATAAAACACATTTTATTTTATTGAAAATATTATAGTTTCTAAAAGCTTAGCAATGAAATTTATCCTCCATGGAAGATCTAGCGGATATTCAATAACATAAATGATATTTTGACACCCAACCTTTACACTACACCATATTTCACTGTTCACCAATACGGTGAACACTGAAATATTATAAAATTAAATATATTTTTTTAAAAAATATAAAAAATTAATTTCTTTTATTTTTAAATTAAATGATATTGATATGAAATTGTGTGATTAACTAACTTCATAACTCCATTAACCAACATTTTACATATTATTAATCAACTTTATTTACTGTTAAATTTTATTTTTAATTCTGGACGTTTATTAATCAATTTCATCACTTCATTAACCAACTTTTTATACTTCATTAATCAACTTTGTTTCATAACTTAAAAAACTATTCACGAATATTGTTCACGAGCCACTTATCATGCACTGTTTATGGTACTGTTCATACTAGTGTGACACTGTTCTGCACTGTATATGTATTGTTCACCGTATTGGTGAATATTGCATACGGTATAGTATAAGAGTTGGGTGTCAAAATAGCATTGTTTATTCAATAATGCCTAAAACAACTTTTGTTTGGCTAGTTGCCATACTACTCAAACATAGTGTATAGTGTTTGTATTAAATAAAAATATATTCTTATCTCTATCTCACCCATTACTTTTTTATTTATTTATTAGAAGAGAAAATCAAATATACATGAGAGGCCTAAAAAGAATTTTTATTGAGTTACAAATTTATAATTTTTTTATAAATTTCATTTGGTTTGAATAGTTATACTTGAAATATAATTTTAAATATTTTATTATTTTATTAGTTTTTTTTATATCAAAAATTCAAAATATTACTAAATTTTTAAACTACTTTAAATAGATTTTTATAAAAATTAGATATAATTTTTAAAAAAAATTACAATTTTAATTATGTTTTGATTTTTAATAATGTATATTTATGTTATATAATGTCAAAACTAATCTTTCAATTTTTAAAAATAATAAAAAAACTTATAAGTTTTTGAAAAACCATTTTACAAAATCTATTTTGAAAAATACAAATAAAAAATCCATTTTTTTAACACTAAACCTATAACATCCATATTTCATCCATATTTACTCATTTTTTAGAATTATAAAATACAAGAAAGAACAAAGGTTTACTAAAAGACCAAAATGTGATGACTTTGACTATTCAACACGTGATTCAACTAGCCAAGTTATGTTATTATTTTTAGATAATTTATGAATTAAATATTACATTTTTTTAATTGTGACTAATATACTATATACCTTTTAAATAAATGACAATACTAGTAATATATTTCTGAATTGTTTGACCAGTGATTGAAGGTATGCAAATTATATACGTATACGTATACATTTTAAAAAAGATTCAATGTATTATATTAGATAATATTCTAACAATAAACTAATAATTTAGAAGAATATATATATATATATATATATATATATATATATATATATATATATATATATATATATATATATATATATATATATATATATATATATATATATATATATATATATATATATATATATATATATATATATATATATATATGAAAAATATATCTCTATAGTTTTGAAAAGTCCATAGTTTATAGTTCATGGTTTTAATACAACCACACATCATGATCTTAAAGGATAATTTTACAATGAAAAATAGGATTCTAGAAAAAAAATAAGTTTTCATATTCTTTATTTTACATTTATCTATTTTTAGCTTAAGATCTCTCTTTTTCTCATCACTTGCAAAAACAAGGGGTGTAAAAAATATATTATATAATTACTAGAATAGTGCTATAAATTTCAGCACACTCGTTTCTCAGTGATTACATTTTCCAACAATGGCTGATAATAATGTATTTTCACCATCTCCCTCCTTTAGCAGGTGTATCAGTCAGCCTCAAGAATCCTCTGAGGATCTGAGCACTCCACCCTCCAAGAGATCCAAGGGTAGACCTAAGGGTTCCAAAAACAAACCCAAACCACCATCAATAATCAAGGTGGAACCTGAAACATATATGGAACCTATTTTGATTGAAATCCCTGCTGGAGAAGATGTCGTGGAATCGATAATCAAGACGGCTTGGCGTCATGAAGCTGATATCTCAGTCCTGAGAGGCTTTGGTCTTGTCTCTGGGATTACCCTTCTCGACTCGGCCTCCCAGAACTCTCCGTTCACTATCCGGGGAGAATGTCAGATGATATCTCTCTCAGGAACCTATGTTTACCCTAATTCTGATCGTGTTCCGTCCGAGTTCATCGTGGCACCTGATTGTTCGTCTTTTTCCATTCACTTGTCTGGTAATCACGGTCAAGTGTTCGGCGGCGTTGTTGGAGGTAAGGTTATCGCTTCCAGTGTTGTTATGGTTACTGCCACTCTCTTGAGGAAGCCGAAGTTCTACAGGGTGGCCTCGTTCGATGGAAGCGTCCGCGAAGTTGAGAAGACCGATCGCGGTGGTGCTATCGTCCGCGCCGATGCTGTTGCACTTGCACCTGAACATAGCAGCCACAACAACACTGCCAATGTGTTCCATTATGGGGTTGGAAGTTCCAGTTCAGCTCAGCTAAACCGCCAAGTCCTCAATGCTCCTCATGCTTATGTGAATGCCATGCAGTGGAGCAACTCTCGTATTAATAATAATCACTAGATGATATCAAAGGGAGTCTTGAGGATTTGTGAATTCATGTTTTCAAAAACTTTTCATTTCATTTATGTTTGAATAAAATGGCTTAAATGCTTAATTTGTTGTTTCTATACTTCTTCCATTTCAGTATAAAATAAAACATTTTGTTGTACGTTTGCATGGCTTCATAATATTTCTTAATATCTTTCCTTTATTTTTTGTCATATGTGTTTCTTTTCTTTGATGTTTTTCCAACATTCATTTACATGGGAAAAATTCTTTGAGAAGATGTAGCATAATGAAAACATTTTCATTTTGTTATCTTGGTTGTTTTATTTTACACCAATGAAGGTGAGATGAGTGGTTTTTTATTTACGCCAATTGAGTCTTTGAGATGTGAAGATAAGCTTTTAACTTTAACTTATGTTTTGATGAAGAAAAAGAACATAGTTTAAAATGCATTATTAAAGAAGAAAAAAGCACAAAGATTCAAAGAAATTATTTGTAACAAAATTTGGTATTCAAGCAATTCTTAAAAACTTTGGACATGGATTAATTGATCAATGAGAAAAAGGTACAGTGCAATTATACTCTATATATCACTTTATGTGCTCAGAATATTATGCATAATCCATCTTAAATTATTTGTGCATCATTAAACATAGCAACACTCGAAGCGGTAGAATTTTGTTGTTATGGCTTTTCTATAGATAATTTTGTTTAAGTGTAGAATTTTGGTTATCCATCCAGAACTCTTTTGCTCTGTGTAGAGGGTTTAGTTAATAAGTTTCTAATGTGTTCATAACTTGTGAGTTTGTGTTGATTGTACAATGTAGGATATGTAAGTGGTTTCGTTGGTTAGTGGGTCTCCTTAGATAACTTAGGTCTTTTTTTAGTTATTTATCTCTTTGGGTTGTAGGTTTAAGGTTAGGGGTAGGCTTTCCATGATCATGCATTTTGTTGTCTCTATAATTTAGAAATCCTGAAAAGATATTATTATTTTAAGGTTCATCAACTATTGTAAATATGTGGAAGAAAAAATATTTTTCTAACTTTGGAATGGTATTTTAGGAGGTTTGTGGTCAATTATTTTATTTTCTCTGCTTGGTTTGAGAGTTATATCATGTAATATTTCATATTTCCCTTAAATATTTATTTGGGTGTCAGTTGGATTTATTGAAATTCTTAAGTGCTCTAAAGGTTATCAATTGGAATTAATAAAGTAATTAATGGACTCTGAAGAGATTAATTATTGATAAAAGAGACAGACCAATATAATTAAGTATAAGAGATGATAGTTTGGTAACTCTAACATTTGGTCAATTAGTGTTAGATGACAAAATATCAAAAGGAGATATTTATGTCATTAACTACTGTTATATACTAGCGTTCAGACGGGCACGGCGTGCCCGTCTGTCCGCTTTTTAATGCGCACAGCATAGAAAAATAAACGCGTGTATATTTTGTATGAAGTTTTTATCATACTTAAAATTAATTAAATGCATTTGTTTATAGATATCCTCAAGCAGTCTTAAAATCAAGATGATAAATATATATATATATATATATACTAAAAATATTTTAGTGAATTAACTATACATTAATGTTACTATTAGTATAAACATACCGAATTAAATAAAATTTAGATTAAAAAATATGTTGTCTAAAGATGCTAATAATATTATTACATTTTGAAAATAACAAACAAAGTTATTCTAAGTTATATTAAATAATTGAAGAACACAAAGTACTATTTATATTGTGTAATCAATAACGTTCCTTAAGAGGAAGGCCGAATATAAAATCTTTATCTTGAGAATTTTCTCTCTCCCTTCAATTGTTTTCCATACTAAAGAAAAAATGTAAGACTCTCACGTTAGAATTGCTATAGGGAAAAATATAGTGAAAGTAATAGTAATTAGTGTAATATATTATTTTTCTACCTTGTAAAGATTCGAATCAATTCTTCATACATCCCTTTATCGATGCGCTCTTGAGCTTTAAAAAACTACAAATACATCGTGAAATGTCATATCAACAAAGAAATACATTCAAAACATGTGATTTGTTTGATTATAAACTGGTGTACTGAACCATAAATAAATGTATATCTGAAGAATGGAAATATTTTGTTTTAGTTCAGATTTGGTAGAACAATAACCTGACTTATTTTTAAATTACGTGGATTTCTGGTAAAAAAAAGGAAAACAATGAGTTTAGTGAATATACATGGTTTTACTTACGCAAATCAATAATAAAAGTAAAATTCATACATTCAAAAATATTCTATGGATAAATATTATTAAATAAATAAAATAAAAACCTACTCATCCTTTGAGATATTATTTCTTTTTTCACCATTTTCCAAAGTTGTGTTTTATCTGTTATCACTGTGGAGCCCCAACCGACAGGTAAACTTTTAGACACTTGACCTGTTTTTATAAGGATGATAAAAGTGTTGGTCAAAGAGTGGTGAAAATGCAACAAACATATTTTTTTATACATGTTGCGAAAAAGGTAAATGCACCTTATTGTCTAGCTTGCCGATAGATGAAATTGTTTGTTCATCCTTCCATGTGTTCTATTTATCTTTAAAGTCCCCCATCTAAATTTTATTCCGTATAAGAATAGTGAGAATAAGTATGATCCAATTGATTGATTATAATTAAAAGCATAAAATAAAGGATTAAGTATAGCTTACCTTTATGTCGAAGCAAGTTTCAACATTCTTCCGTCTCAGCTCCTTACATAATTGGAAGACTTCATTGTGTTCTAGTTTGGCTGTATATCAAAGCCACACAATTTTATACTTAGTTATACTTAGTTTTATCATATAAAGAATACAATATAATATTGGTATTTCGTGTACAAATGGGAATCGATACGTGAGATTATTTGTTTAATGTACGTAATGATACCTGCGGGTGTGATAAAATAATTTGCTTAAAGACTATATTTTTTGTGTAGTCACCATCTTCTCCTTTCAATTTTCCTTCCTTGGATAAAAATTTTGTTGTAGTCTGTGAAACACCTCTGGATAAAGCCACATATAACTGTCCATGGCTGAAAACATGTCGTGGAAGATATATTCCAACATTTGGGATGGTTTTTCCTTGTGACTTATTTATTGTAATTGCAAAACTTAGTCGCACAGGAAACTGCTTTCTACTAAGGACAAAAGGCAACCCATCATTGGCCGATGTTTTTATTTTAATTCTGGGCAAGAAAGCTCGTCTTCCTGCGTTGTTTCTTGTCAAGATTTCCACATCCAACATATTCATATATAACCCACGACATAATAACCGCGTCCCGTTACACAGCCCATATCTAGGATCTAGATTTCGCAACAACATCAATGGTGCACCCTTTTTTATCTTTAGAATATGCGGGGGGAAACTACCTTGTGCACTTGAGTTTAAGAATTCTTGCTGGTATAAATTATTATTATCCCCTTCAACCTCGTCAAATGACAACAAATTATGTTCTTCTCCTGGAAACTGGTCAATAATTATATCATTCAATTTTTGGACATCATCGTTTGTTGGGGTCAAAATAGCTCTTTGTACCATATAAAGGGCATCCCAACCATGCAATTCTAAATCAGGAAAAATATGTTGTATAAACACTTGTATGGAATGTTCACCTTCCCATGGGACTGTAATCTGTGAAGGCAACCTCACCATGTCATCTAGTTTGGTAGGTTCAACACCATCACCAACGCGCATAAGAAATTCTGCAAACTCTTGATCATGCAATGATCGCATATTTTGACGCAATCTCAAAATTTTGGTATGAGCCCATAAATGTGACTGAACAATACACGCAGAAATCATTTGTACCTTAGTACCTTTTCTTACAATAGGAAGAACTTGTCGGAAGTCTCCCCCCATGATCATAAAGTTTCCTCCAAATGGAGCATTGTTGCTACAAATGTCTTGTAATGATCGATCTAAGGCTTCCAAACAATTTTTGTTTATCATTGGGGCTTCATCCCAAATTATTGCAGCAGAAACCCTAATGAGATTTGCAAGATCGTTTTGCTTTTGAATACCACAAATAGAACTCGGTTGTATATCGATAGGTATCTTAAATCGAGAGTGTGCAGTTCTACCACCAGGTAACAACGTTGCAGCTATACCAGATGATGCAGTTGCCAAAATAATTTCTCCTCTACTTCTTAAACTTGCCATTAATGCTTTATAAAGGAATGTTTTACCTGTTCCTTCTGGACCATCAACAAAAAATACCCCACTGTGTTTTTGATCAATTACATTCATAATGGTTTTGAATGCAATCACTTGGTCATTATTTAACTTCGCAACAGATTCAATATCTTCATTGGGGATATCGACCGCTAACTCCTCTTGTATGACATTTGGAATCGAATCTCCTTGTACTGTATCAAGGGGTAAAGGTGGGAAATCATAATCTTCAATCTTTTTACCGTGCAGGTTTAAGAGTTCATTCAAGTCCTTCAACAACATATTAGTCAAGACCGATTCCACAACAGTGTTTGTTGTTTGATAATCCTTTGTCATATGTGTAAAAAACTCATTCCAAAGGCTTCTAACATCAGTAGGTTCACAAAATATGAGAACTGTCACGAATAACCTCCTTAAAGCATATGGCATTCGGAGACTCGCCGCTTCAACCAAACAATCATGAATACTATGATCAGTCTCTAGAAATCCTCTATCCTCGGCTGATTTTTTGAATGTACTGAAAGAAGTACCATTATTTGTAAGAAGATATTCCCAACTGGTTGGACCTCTGACATGAGATAATAGTAATCGCAAGTAAAACTTCTCTCCCTCCGAAGGTGATACCGTATAGATTCTCCCGATAACTTTTCTTAGTGACCGTCTGCGATGCCATTCCTTCTCCCTATTATTCCAACAATAATGCTCTGGAATCTCTCTATACAGATAATTTCTTGCTCCTGGATCTCTTAGGTTTAAAGCAAAGAATTGTGTGAGCATTATTTTGGAATTGCGTTTATTATTTAACAAATCCACAATTCGCTG